GAAAGTTTATCATCGGAAGAATAAATGCAGAAGGAAATCGAAAAGTTTTTTTAATTTAACTTTACAATGAATTTTGTTTCATCATCGTTTACGGCGAGTAGCTCGTGCAGGTTTTTTAGTTGGTGAAAAATTTTCTGTAAGTGATTGTTAGTATTCATATACTTGATTTACTTTTCTCTTTGATGGACTTTGTTGATCAGATGAAATTTGTGGAGATTGCAATGCGTGAATCTGATCAGACATTTGTTTACTATTATTTTGTTCCAAATTTATTAGCGTCGTATCTGTTCTTATATTCTCAAAAATTAGGACAACAGTAAAATCCACAAATAACATTCAATTATTTTGAAAGTATGATATGGTTTCACATTTCGTAGAAAGATTCACTGAGGAATAATTTTGAATAGTTCAATAAGAAATACTAATTATATCGGCATTTTTCTCTTTAATAAAAATCTTCGAAGCTGAGCATGAGAAAGAATATCGGTAAATAAGGTTCAAATCCAAATCTTTTTTTTTTTGTGAAGTTTTCGGATGTCAATCACGGAATTGATGAACATTTAAGAAATCTTTAAATCCTCGAGAATCCTTTAGAATGTTCAATCGAAATTCGGAAACCTATTTTAGTTCAATGTGAGACCATTTTCAACTTGGGTATTTTCGTAAACCCATTTTATATTCCTATGATACTCTTTTCAGATTGGGTATTTTCGGAAACCGTTCAGGAAATGATAAGGTATTTTCGCATATCTCTTCTGGTATCAACCCAGTTTTTCTAGTAATATGGGTTTTCCACAATACCTTTTCCGTTCCCGAGAAAACTATTGGGTTTCCGATAGCATGAAAAAGGTATTCCAGAATACTTTCAGAGTGTTCAATTGAGTACTGTCGGATACCCTTGGGTTTCCGAACGTTCGAAAACCAAAAGGGTATTTTTAGAAACGCTTTCAACGTTCGGAAACCTTCTCGGAAACTGAAAAGGGTTTCCGAACCCCTTTCGGTTTTCTAGGATACGAAAATTTTTTAGAGTGCACACCCACACCCACACCACCCACACCAACACCACCCACACCCCACACCAACACCACCCACATCCCACACCCACACCCACACCCACACCACCCACACCAACACCAGCCACACCCCACACCCACACCTCACACCCAAAAGTAAAATTTTTTTGTTGAGATCAATAGAGATACTTAATTAGACCTCCAGTGAGCGCTCCTCGCTGAAAGGAATGTCGGCTCACTGCACGAGCCCAAAAAATATCAGAATACCATTGTAAATGAGATCTACCATTTTTAAATCATAGAATACCGTAGAGAAAGTTATAATGAATTTTATTCGCGTTCACATATCTTCGCTGAGCAGGCTAGTGAAAGATAATGAATCTGAATCAGCTATTACCATATAAGGAAACATTGAATTGTTTATTATCGTTCTTCGCACCTCATGAAAGGGAAAACAACTAAGGCTTCAGTTTTGAAATCCAATGAAGTCCTGAAGTCATGTGAAGTCTCGCTAAGTCTGATGAAGTCACGTGAATTCCTATGAAGTCTCATGAAGTCTGTTAAAGTTCCATGAAATCTGTTGAAGTCTTCTACAGTTCTATGAAGGTCCGTGGAGCCTTCTGAAGTCTCCTGAAGTCCTATGAAGTCTCATGAGGTCTGCTGAAGTCTACTGTAGTCCCATGAAATCTCTTAAAGTCTTATGAAGCCTCATGAAGTCCTCTGGAAGTTTTGACGTACGTTTAGTGGATGGAATATTCATAAGAGAATTAATGAACAAGTCTAGATTTTGCTGGTCTTATTTCTGTAAAAACGTGAGTTTTTATTGTTTTCTCAATCTACTCGAAGATTCCGTCCTTGTTTGAACTTAATGTCCCCTCAGGAAAAGTCAGTTTTCGTCAGAATGGTCGGAATTAAGACAAATACATATAGAAAGATAGCTCGCTAACTGACCTTTCATAAACGACGAAAATTTTCACTCGGTACCTCGTTTTTCCCAAAAAGTTTGGAAGATTTTTGTCATCCGCTTTTCGAGAAATAAGCTATTTTCAGAAAAAACAGAAAATGTTTCGCTTTTCTTCGTTTGTAGTTTCTCAATCGCGCAAACCAAATTGCTCTGTTGATACTTATTCAATGTATGTAATATGTTTCTGAAAGAGCATGTCAAGACACAGTGTAGTACAGTGCCGTTTTTTGATTAAGCTTTGCTTGCATTTAGTATGCAAAACATTTATAAACTTAAAGCATTATTTCTCGAGAGTTTTCGTGTCATCGAACTTTCGATCCACTTCCTTTACTTAAAAAGTAAAAATTAAATAGAAAGTGCTCTGAAATCTAATGCGTTTTGGCATACTCCTTCAAACAAGAAAAAACTTAATTATGTAGAAAGAATCTGGACAGAGAAGTTTTGTTTTCAAAATGAGCTCTTTTTGATCCTTGTTTGGTCAGTATCTCCCTCAAAGGTCATGATAGCGGGCTGAAAATTGTATCATTGCTTCTTCACTGAAGTCTCAACATATCCTGAAAATTTCATGTAATTTGAATGTTCCTGGGCTGAGATCGATTTTTGAGGGAGGGTCTTAAAGAAGCATCGTAGTTTATAGTTCAATTCTTTTCAATAAAGTTATTTGTTTTGATAAGAAATGCTCCATCAAGTCAATATCAATGTGGTGAATAATTTTAATCTTGATTGTTTGATTCTATCAGTCCTGTAAGTCTATCAGCCGATGAACGGCTAAGTTTACCGGTCAATAACCAACACGCCGTTTGCTTATGTGTAACTTTAGCTTGTAATATTCTTTACAATCGCTTCAAAAGATAGGGAATTTGTTACAGCCACAAAAAAGCTGCTCTTAATCGGAACATATAGTGTAGAGTTATGGTTTACATTTAATAGTATCACCTTAAAATGTTTCAACATTAAATATGACATAAAGAAGATTTTCAAAAGGAAAAGAAATTCTTTTCTATTTTTGTTCAATTGATAGTGTGCTTTGCATGGTACAGGAATTCGATGCTATCTCTAAGGCTTCCCGAACTTTCATATTGTCTTGAAGTCTCTTGAAGTCTGATGAAGTCCCATACAATCTCTTGAAGTCTTATGCAATCTCATAAAGTCGGAAGAAGTCTCGGAAGTCCGTCGAAGTCTCGTGAAGTCTTCTGACGTTTCTGAAGTCTCTGTTGCTGAAGTCTCGTGAAGTCTTTTGAAGTCTTCTGAAATATTTTTAAATCTCTTGAAGTCTTAAGTCCGCTGTTTCTTCCTTGCCTCCTGCTCTCTTCTTCTATTAAGGGAGACCTTACAAACAAACCCTAATTTCAACGCACCAGGTTGCTTATCGAAAAAATGCATGATTAAAAGGCTCAAAAAATCTTATTAGCGCATCTCCTGCGGAGCTGAAATGTGGAACTCACGTATACCTTTAGCTTTGTTACCTGACGCATCATCTGTATACTGAAAGACTTCTCGTCAACTATAGTTGTTTTCCTTAAGAATTGATGAAAAGAACGGGAATTTATTATTTATTTGTATATTAAAAAAGAAAATATTGTTTTTTCATTTAAGCGCGCTCGATTTCATTTATAATTATTGCTATATACTCGATAATAATCTGTTTTTTTTTGTTTTCTAATTTGAAGTTATTTTTCTCCACCATCGACTATTTGATGAATACGGTTGTTGCAGTCTGTAATGGGGGGGGGGGGGGGGGGGGGGGG